TGGAGGCTGTAGGTGAGCAAAGGGGGTTGCTGATGCCCTCCATGTGTAACACACTGGCACAGTGAGTGTAGGGTGACCAGATGGTAAGGGAAAAATATGGGGACCACCGCGGGGGGGGGGGCTTTTTTTGTTGTTGTTGTTGTTGTTTTTACACTCACCCATCCGGGTCTTCGGCGGCAATTCGGCGGAGAGTCCTTCAGTTGCAGACGGTCTTCGGCAGTATTTCGGCAGCGGGTAATAAACCTTGCCGACAAAGACAGAAGCACATGCCGCCGAAGAGCGTCAGCGACTGAAAGACTCTCCGCCGAATTGCCATCGAAGACCAGGAAACAAAATATCGGGACAAATGGCGTCCCGACCGTACTCCGGTCGGGACATGGGACAAACTCCTCAAAATTGGGAAAGTCCCGATTTTATCGGGACGTCTGGTCACCCTAAAAGTGAGTGTCATGGCCATCTCTAGGGCTGGTCCATATAACAACCTACTACTGCAACCAGCTGACCGAGTTACTTCTGTAGCTCACAAAGCAGAGGGGCCATGCTTTTATTGTGAATGGTACTGGGTTCAAATCCTGCTCCCATCCAGGGGGTGATCACACTTGAATTCAGGGAGGGCCAGGACTAAGATTGTGGCTGGCTCCATTAAAAGGGGGCCAGGCTCACCGGGCCCATTCTTGCATCCCAGGCTTGGACCAGCCGCAACATCAGGTTCACTAGGGAAGAGTGTGTAGGGAGTTACTTGCCTGTGGTGTGTCTTTGCAGCAGGAGGGTACCCAGATACCAGACCTGCACCACAGCCACCACATGACAGGGCCAGGCCGCCAGTCAGTTAGTCCCCAGGCTGCGGTGCACATCACTAATCAGGAAAGGCAAGGGCCCCATTGTTACTTTGAAACAGGAAGGGCAAGATGCTACCACGTATTGTCCCTTCCATTCCACTCCTACTACCCTGGACCTCTGGTGACAGGACAAATCATGCAACATAACATACACAGCTGACCCTGCTTAAGCCTCTGGTGTCTACCTATCCATAAAACTCCATTTTCAAGGTCCAGCTCATGACTGACCACAACATCTCCCAAGGTTTTGATGACCTCCTTCCTGGGCAGTCATCAGAACCGAACACCAATCACACCTCTTCTCCACTTCAAGCAGGTCTGGTTTGCAGCTTGCCCCTGTGGTGAACAGACTCAGCAGCTCTCAAACCAACTGAGGAAGCAAATTCCAAAGTCAAGAACACTTGGCCAAGACCAGACTGGGGCTATGGCTGTAGATCTTTCTGAATGCCGAGAGCTTCATAGATTCCACGGTTCAGAACCTTGAAGACCTTTGAACCCTTTAGAATATTCGGGGTTCTAGATTTTGCCTCATGCAGGAACCCGACCTTTTAGACCTTCTGAGGGTGGCATCCCATAATTTAAAGGGCAAAAGGGGAAAAAAATAATTTCATTCATGTTCTGAACATTCTCAATGTTTGGTGAGGGACCGAGGACCTCATCCCTAGTGCCGTTATGAAAATGGCTAATTGCATTTGTTTCTACACGTTTAATACGCATTGAAACATTCTGCAAACAGGAAGGAGGGTCTTAGTGGTTAGTGCAGAATGTGGTGAGAAGGCAAAACTCTTGAGCTCTATTCCAGGACCTGCTAGCCGTTGGCTGCATTGATTTTGTATAAACTGCGTAATCTCTTAGGCCAGAATTTTCAGAAGAGCTCAGCTCTCATTTAGGCTAGGTCTACACTACAGCGGACTTCCGACCTAAGATACGCAACTTCAGCTACGTGAATACCGTAGCTGAAGTTGCGTATTTTAGGTCGGCTTACCTGGCGGTGAGGACGCGGGAAAGTCGACCGCTGCCGCCGACTCCGCTACCGCCTCTTGTCGAGGTGGATTTCCGGAGTCGACGGTAGAGCCATCAGGGATCGATTTTACCGCGTCCTCACGAGACGCGGTAAGTCGATCCCCGATAAACCGATTGCTACCCGCCGGATCGGCGGGTAGTGAAGACGTAGCCTTAGGCATCTAAATGAATACCCAGATTTTAGACATCCTGAACAGTGCTTTGAAATAAGCAGCTAAATTAAGCTGGCATCTCAATAAGCAGACAGATATTCAAAAGACATCAGCACATCAGGTGCACATTGAGTGCTGAGCACTTCTGAAAAGCTATCTGTAAGTGTCACAGTAGGAGCTGCTATACACAGGGAAAACCCGGCCCAGAACTCTTCTGGAAATGTGTCCCTGTATGCCTCAGTTTACCTGCTCTGAAATGGTTCGAATAATCATGTTGTTCTGGGCTCCATTATATAAAGTTTGTAAAGTCTTTGGGGAAGCGTAGGTGAAAAAAAGCTAAAATTGCAAAGAAATATTATTAATCATGATATTTCAGCGTGCTAGTTCCCTGAGGCAGCTGAATGGATTTCTGCAAGCAATCTGGTAGAAAACAAAACTGAGTGAAAAGAAAGAAAGAAAGAAAGAAAGAAAGAAAAGCAGCCAGCCATATGAGGAAGGTTGCCTAACTGCCTCTCTAGCTGCAGAGATAGATTAAATTGGTTTAATTTGAAACCAGGCCTTGTCTGAAAGACTTTTCATGCATTATTACCTCATCTTCCTTTGAATTCTCAAAGCAACTGCTTTTCTCTCCAGTCTAGCTACAGAAATGATTATTACCTCCTTGTTCAGCTAATGGGATTAGAACCTCGGCAGGCTCTGAACTTTATTCTACTCTTTCCTAATGAGAGCCCCAATTCAGCCAAGTACCTGAGCATGGGCGTAATTTTAAGGAAACCACTTAAGCACGTATTTAAGGCTATGGGCTTGTCTACACTGGCAACGCTAAAGTGCTGCCACGGCAGCACTTTAATGTGGCTTGTATAGTCGCAGCAGAGAGCTCTCTCAGCGCTCTAAAAAACCCACCTCCACAAGGGGCGTGGCTCCCAGCACCAGTGCACAGTCTACACTGGCGCTTTACAGCGCTGAAACTTGCTGCACTCAGGGGGGTGTTTTTTCACAGTTTGCACTACAAAGATAAACCGACCTATGTTACCCCTTGTCTACACTGGCAATTTACAGCGCTGAAACTTTCTTGCTCCCAGCAATGGAAGAAACGCCCCCCGTGAAGGTGGTTTTTTTAGAGCGCTGGGAGAGAGCGCTTTAGCGTTGCCAGTGTAGACTAGCCCTTAGGTTGACTTACAGCCACTGCATTAATCACTGAGGTGGCTCGCGTTCACACTACCTTCCTTCTGTCGGTGGTACCCATCCTCACCAGCAGCGGTTCCACCGACTGAAGAGGGACAGCGTGGAGGACTGAGAGCCAGGGATCTCAGCTCCACGCAGATCCCCACCGGGAGACCTGCTGCCCGCTGGGGTTTCTTGCCTCCAGCCGGGAGACAAACACACCGAGTTCAGTCGGCTGCCCTGCTCCAGTAGGTTCTCAGCAGGGAGCCCAGGCAGCAGCCAGCCCAAGCCGGGAGCCTGGCTTGGAGTGGAGACCGGACCGCAGCCTGGCTTGTGAGCCAGCTTTCTTGTCAATTTCATGGCTCCCGCGGAGCCGTGAAATCGACAAGAATGACAGCCCACAGGGGATATAAGGAAGGCAGGGTCTACACAGACACGGCATCAGCCTAACTACTCCAATATAAGTCCTACGCCTCTCGTTGAGGTGGTTTTATTATGCCAACATAGCAGAGGAGTAACATCGGCCGGAGACGCATTTCAGTGCATAAACCGCCGCTGTTTTGTCAACAAAACTGTGTAGCGTAGACAAGGCCTTGAACTGACCCTAGATGTACCAGTGTTGAAGAACTATGGACCCAATCCTGTAAGGTGCCGAGCACCCTCTAGGGCTGGTCTTCACTAACGCCGTAAGTTACGCTACAACGTAACTGAAGTCGACGTAACTTAGATCAACTGACAGTGGTGTCTACACCACACTATGTCGATGGGAGACGCTCTGCCATCGACTTAGCGTGTCTTCACCAGACCCGCTAAATCGACACCGCTGCATCAATCGTAGCAGTGTTGATTTAGCTGGTCGGGTGGACGTGGCCCTAGTCCTGCTGAACCAGGGTGTTCAGCCCGTTACAGGATCTTGCTCTAATGCCCCAATTTAAGGTCAATGGGATTTAATCGTGTGTTTAAAGCTAAGCAAGTGTTTAAGTGCTTTGATGAATCACATCCTGAACTGGGACAGATGGTTCATTTCTGCACATATCCCTTCAACAAGGAAGCCAGGAAAGATGGATTCGTACCCAGTGTGCACCTAGGTTCTGATCCAACACCCATTCAAGCCCTGAGAAAGGCTCCCATTGGCTTCAATGAGTTTTTGGATCGAGCCCTTAACCCTTACTGAAGTGGATATTTGCCCCGTGATGTTTTGCATCATCCCCATGGAAAGTTCTGTTTTGATAAAATGGGGGGCGGGGGGTGGAAAAGGGGAGTGGGGTTGCATGGAAAATTCTCAACCCAGCTCTCACGGTCACGTTATAGATGAGGGTCTGGGCTCCAGACCCTCAACGGCATAGGTGTCAACTCCGTGGGTGCTTTGGGGCTGGAGCACCCACGGAAAAAAAAATAGTGGGTACTCAGCACCCACCAGCCACCCACCGATTAGCTGCTTGGCGGGCCTCACCCATCAGCTGCTCAGCAACCCCGCAGATCAGCTGATCGGTGGCGGGTGGGAGGCACTGGGGTGAGGAGGTGGAGCAGGGGCGGTAAAGGGCAGAGCGAGGGTGGGGCATGCTCAGGGGAGGGGGCGGAGTGTGGGCAGGAAGAGGTGGAGCAAGGGTGGGGCAGAGGGGGGGTGGAGCAGCCACCCAGAAAGAACAAAGTCGGTGCCTGTGCTCAATGGTATTTAGGGGTCTTAATCCCATTGGTTTCAATACCTAAATTCCTTTGAGGATCTGGGCCTTAGGTAGTCTCCACACAGCACCCATATCCCCTTGGCACTGAATAAAACTCTGATGCACTTTAACATTTCTCCTTCACTCTGTGCCTTCAGATACACCAAGATGAAAACGGCCACCAACATTTACATCTTCAACCTGGCCCTCGCAGACGCCCTGGCGACGAGCACGCTGCCCTTCCAGAGTGCCAAATACCTGATGGAGACCTGGCCCTTTGGGGAGCTGCTCTGCAAGGTGGTCCTTTCCATCGACTACTACAACATGTTCACCAGCATCTTCACACTGACCATGATGAGTGTGGATCGCTACATTGCCGTCTGCCACCCGGTCAAGGCCCTGGACTTCCGCACCCCAGCCAAAGCCAAGATCATCAACGTCTGCATCTGGGTCCTCTCCTCTGTGATTGGCGTGCCCATCATGGTCATGGCTGTGACCAAGTCAAAAGGCAAGTGAACGTGGCCCCCTGCTGTGATTCATTGACTGGCGTGTATGCCAGCGCCAATCAACCCTCCTGTAACAGGAGGACTGACACTCAGGCATCGTCCACACTTGTGGTGGCTACACACCCTGGTGAAAAAGAGGCTGCATCCATGCTGCGGTATGTAGCTATAATGCAGCAGTGGAAGGCTCTGGCCAGGGAGTGGCAGTGGCAAAAGACTCCAGCAGCGGGGAGCTCCCAGAGCCTTTTCCCTCTGCCAGAGTTTTTCCCTGTGGTGGGGAAAGGCTCCGGATGCAGGGAGGCAGCAGGACACTATACTCCATCAATAGTGCTAAAAAGAGCAGTGTAGCTGGAGTAGGCGCTGCTTGGGCGTGCAAAGAGCCAGTCAGGGTACATACCCTAAGGCTCTGGCATGGCTGTACTCTACTCACCTAACCAGTGCCTCACCGTTTACACTGCTATCTATACCGGTGTTAGCTGGGGATAAGTGCAGGGCCGGCGCTTCCATTTAGGCGACCTAGGCGGTCGCCTAGGGCACCAGGATTTGGGGGGGCAGCAATTCGGCGGCGGGGTGTCCTTCTGCGCTCCGGGTCTTCGGCGGCAATTCTGCGGCGGGTCCTTCACTCGCTCCGGGACCCGCCGCCGAAGTGCCCCGAAGACCGGGAGTGTGGAAGGACCCCCCGCCGCAGAATTGCCGACGACGACCGGGAGCGCGGAAGAACCCCCGCCTAGGGCACCAAAAACCCTGGCGCCGCTCCTGGATAAGTGTAAGACATAAGTGTAGATGCAGCTTCAGGGAGCTGCAGGCTAGAGCAGGGCTGCCCCGGGGGGGAAAGTGGGGCAATTTGCCCCAGGCCCCGGGCTCCGCAGGGGCCCCCACGAGAATGGCTGAGGCTCCCTCCCCGGCCCCGGCCCGACCCCACCTCCGCCCCTCTCCCGGAGCCTCAGCGCATCCAGGAGCATCCCTGGCTCCGGCAGGGCCTGAGCTCCTCCCCGCTCAGAGCCGCGTGGTAAGGGGGCGGGGCTGAGGCTCTGGGTGAGGGGGGAGCCGCGGGTAAGGGGCCGGGGCCGGTGGAGTTGGATAAGGGGCAGGGAGGGGGCAGAGGTTGGGGGGGGGCGGTCAGGGGACAGGGAACAGGGGGGTTGGATTGTGGGCGTTCTGGGGGTCTGTCAGGACTCGGTGGGGGGGGTGGATAGGGGTCGGGGCAGTCAGGGGACAGGGAGCAGGGGTGGGATCCCGGGGTGGTGGTTGGGGGAGTCTCTGGGGGACAGTGAGGGAACAAGAAGCAGGATGGGTTGGGGATTCTGAGGGGGGCGGGCAGTCAGGGGGCAGGAAGTGGGTGGGGGTCAGATGGGGGCAGGGCCAGGCTGTTTGGGAGGCACAGCCTTCCCTACCCTAAAGCTCATTCAGCAGTTTGAGGCTTGCAGAAGAGCCAAGCTGTTAGCTTTTCCATTAGCGCTGCCGTCCCTTTCACTTCTCAAATGCCAAATTATAGTCTATATTTAATTTCAGTGCCATAGGGAGATTCATGTCAGGGGAGGGGAGCTTCATTTAAAATTAGCCACTGGGAGAGGGATCACATGAGAAGAGCAATATCCTACACCACCTACCTCCTTCCCAACCCTACCAAGGGACACCCCCCTCCCCTGCATTCCCTGAGGCTTCAGAGGGGTTAATTCAGTGGTTCTCAAACTTTTGTATCGGTGACCCCTTTCACATAGCAAACCTCTGAGTGCAACCCCCCCTTATAACTTAAAAACACTTTTTTATATATTTAACACTATTATAAATGCTGAAGGCAAAGCGGGGTTTGAGGTGGAGGCTGGCAGCTCGCGACCCCCAGTAATAACCTCATGACCCCCTGAGGGGTCCTGACCCCCAGTTTGAGAACCCCTGGGTTAATTTAATTTTAGCACCCTGTGTCCATTCACATGCATGTGCTATTTTGAGCATTTCAGTTTTCACAACATAGGCTCATCCCAGATTCCGGAACAAGCTCAAATGCTCAGTTCGTGGAGTATGTACATAAGCTATACTAAAGACAAACCCACAGTAACCGTCTCCACTTTGTGAGGGACCCCATGGAGCCAGTCTCTAGGAAACAGATAAATGCATGGAGGTTAAGTCCATTAATGGCTATTAGCCAGGAAGGGTAAGGAATGGTGTCCCTAGCCTCTGTTTGTCAGAGGGTGGATGGAGATGGATGGCAGGAGAGAGATCACTTGATCATTACCTGTTAGGTTCACTCCCTCTGGGGCACTTGGCATTGGCCATTGTCGGTAGACAGGATCCTGGGCTGGATGGACCTTTGGTCTGACCCAGTATGGCTGTTCTTATGTTCTAACCTAAATGAACCCAACGTTATGGAGACAGATATGAGTCAAGGAAGCCAGCAGAGTATCAGAAACCTGGAAAAATCTCTGACTGGATGGGCTCAGGCGTTTGGTCACAAGCTGAGGTGGTTCAAAAGTTTTGGATTTTTTTTTAGCAGAATTTTTTTATTGTTTCTTTAAACAATTAAACACAACAAGCAGCAAATATTTGGCCACACACTTCTGAAACCCCAAACCATATTCAGGTTTTGGCAGACTAAATTTCAGCTTTTCAATTAAAAAAAAACCACAACAAATTTTGAAGGAAAGCAGACATTGTCCGTGATTTTTTTCTGCTTTTTAAAAACCCCTAGTTTTCGATCCAAAAAAAGTTGACGGAAAATATTTGTCCAACCCTTTTAATGAGCTTTAGTGCCTTTTAGCACTAGCTGATGCTGAGAACCAGTGATACCTTGTAAAGAAGTTTTCTCAAAACTGGGTTTGTGCCGAGATGCGGAAGGTTTATTTTTCCCAGGGCTGCCCGTGGGGGGGGGGGGAGCAAGTGGGGCAATTTGCCCCGGGCCCCACAGGGGCCCCCACGAGAATATAGTATTGTATAGTATTGCAATTTTTTTTTATAGAAGGGGCCCCCAAAATTGCTTTGCCCCAGGCCCCCTGAATCCTCTGGGTGGCCCTGGGCTAAAGGGGAGGGATCGTGGTGCGGTTAAAGCTTTGGGCTAGGACAAAAAAGTTCTGGCTTCCATTCTTGGCTTTGCCCCAGACTCCCCCCATGCAGATCACTGAATTCCTCAGTTCCCCCCAAACCCATCCCACCTCCCCTACATGCCCTAGATCTCCCAGTGGTTCCTCTCCTGCCCTGTCACTTAGCGAAGGTGATTAGTTCTGACCTTGAGCAGGGTGGTTAGTGATGGGATGTCGCTGTCAATGTCCATTTGGCAGCCTCTCTGCAATGAGTCCTTGGCCCCATTTCCAGAGTACAGACATCTGCATCACAGGGATCAGTGTTACGACTGGCAGTGATCAGAGGAAGGGCTTTATCGTTACACATCCGTAGAGGCTTCTGTTTAAGAATCTCAAGGCATTTATCATTTGTACAGCAGCATGGCCCAGAAGCCCTAACTCAGGATAAAGGTCCCACTGTCTAAGGTGCTGTACACACGTCAAAGGAAAAGATGACCCCTGCCCCAAAGAGCCCACAATCTATGTATGCTTTACAAACATTAATTAGCCCTTACAGTGTAGCATGAGACAGGTAAATAGTGTTAGACTGATTTTATGGATGGGGAAACTGAGGCACCAATAGGTGAAATGTAGCACTCCAAAACTCAGACCAGACCCACCCTGAAGTTTGGAGCAGGAGTTTGGATCTGGGTCTTTGACTCTGTGCCCAGATCTCATTAAAAAACTTGCCCAAGGCCATTAAATGTGTCAGTGGCAGAGTTCTGGAAAGCCCCTATTGTAATTGCAAACAACAATTCTTCATTAGTTTTCATGATGTTTACAGATCAAGTACATTCTCATCTTAACACTAACACACACTTTTGATCTAGGTAATTACAGGGATATACATAAAGTAATGCGATAGCAATCCACAGGTTATAGATAAGTGAAGAGAATACCATTAACAGTTCCTTTGAACTAACACACAAGGGAACTGGCCTGATTACATTACAATACCTTTTGACACTCCTTGGATTTCTATTAGCAGATGAGTGAATTAGCCTGCAACCCTGTCCTGAGCTGGCACATGGGTAGATAGCATCACACCAAGTCACCAGCATTAACCACTAGGCAGCACTCCATCTCTGAAGCGCTCTGTTTAGCCAGCATTAAATCAAACCAAACGCAAATGTTAGGAATTTAGCTAGATCGGTTAGGAAACTGACAGGTGCCAAGGTTGGGAGCTGCATGCACACAGACAGAGCTGTCTGCTGAAAAAGGGTGCCCGGTGGGCTGCATGGAGGATTGTGGGGGTGGCAACTTTGAGACAGTCTAATCATTTGAATACAATGGGAGACACAGCATGCAAATAAGGCCCAATTGTATGCAAAAGCAGGCTCCTACTCTGGTGCAAATTAGGCCTGTTGAATTCAACTGCAGTTCCAATTATCCTGCAGATGTGATCCCCCTTGGTGTAAGACTGTCAGGAGTATTTAATTATGTTGAAGTAGAAACACAGGAACACGGTAGGAGTTTCTTGCCTATGCCATTTTAATAAGCAGAGAGGGCTATAAATGCACCCCTGGGGCAGCTGATTAAGGGGGTATTCCTCTGGCTCTCTCTCCCACCTATCCACAAGTCTCCCTTACCCTCTCTCCCCTGCAGATGGGATCGTGCTCTGCATGCTCCAGTTCCCTGACCCCGCCATGTACTGGGACACGGTGACCAAGATCTGCGTGTTCATCTTCGCCTTCATGGTGCCCATCCTGGTCATCACCATCTGCTACGGGCTCATGATCCTCCGCCTCAAGAGCGTCCGCCTCCTCTCGGGCTCCAAGGAGAAGGACCGCAATCTGCGTCGCATCACCCGCATGGTGCTGGTCGTGGTAGCGGCCTTCATCATCTGCTGGACGCCCATCCACATCTTCGTCATCGTCTGGACGCTGGTGGACATAGACAAGAAGAACCCCTACGTGGTGGCCAGCTTGCACTTCTGCATCGCCCTGGGTTACACCAACAGCAGCCTCAACCCCGTCCTCTACGCCTTCCTGGACGAGAACTTCAAGAGGTGTTTCCGTGAGTTCTGCCTGCCCTTCCGGTCCCGGATGGAGCAGAACAGCTTCTCCCGAGCGAGGACCACCACCCGGGAGCGCGTCTCCACCTGCACCCCTTCCGAAGCCCTCAATAAGCCGGCATGACTAGGCATGGACAGCCACCGGCGGGGTTCCCGTAGCCGCAGAGGGGAGGAACTGCTCTCGGAGGTGACTCAGGTCACCACCACGGAATTCTAGTGGAGGTGACTGGAGGCGAGCGGGCAGGGGTGGGGGGCTCATCAAGGACTCTTTTAAAAAAAAAATATTTGCAAATGCTTGATTTTCCATGAAGACACCAGGGGGATGGGGAATTGGGCAGGGGGCGGGGGAGTCACAAAGCAACAGATTCCTGGCTGAACATTTCTAAGAACTGCAGAAAAACAAACCGCGGCATCGGATGGGGAATGAGGAGGATCCACAGGCTACAAACATGTCATCAGACGACCACCAAACCTGCACCACAAGGCAGCCTGGAGACGGATGGCTCTGGAGCCCCGCCATCACCATGGCACCCCCACCCCGCCATCAGGAAGGGCAAGATGGGGGAACCTGCCGCTGCTTTCATGGGGGTGGGGCCGCTTCTTTAGCTCTCCGCTGATGTAAAAGGCCAGGCGCCCTTCGAACCCCGGTCGGCACGATGCAAACTGCAAAGCTGCAACCCAGTGAAGTCTTGTGCTGTTGAAGCGTTGGGTTTGGTTCCCCTGACGCCAGCAGGTGGCGCCAGTGGAGAGACACCTCAGCCAGCTGTGAGCAAGTCGCGCATCATGCTCTGGGACCCAGGCAAGGTAGAACTGGGGTTCTCCAACAGCCCAAGGACTCTGGGGAGGAGCCCTGCCCTTTTTTTGTGCCCGTTCTGACCTTGTACATGGCAGGTGCCAGCACATCCTGTTGGCCCTTTGCTGCTGCGCTCTGGGATGGCTGCTCGGGACCCCCCCCCCGTAGGAGAGCAGAGCACACACTGACGGCCACGTCTTGTACATATGTACACTCCAACAGCCCTCGGGAGGCAACGCCTGGCCGGGGAGGCCTGGGATGTTCCTGACGGAGGCGCGTGGCTACTCGTGTGCCCGCCTCGTTCCTTTCGCCACATCGTTATTACCCTGCACAGCCTGATGCGGGATCTGTAGGAGTCAGCCAACTCCCCTGCTCACACCGGCCCGGCGCGCCACGGAGCTCGGAGCCTCGCGTACACGCGTGGAAGGGTCTGCCTGGCGAGAACGCACTCACACCGGCCCGAGCAGAGAGGCACCGCGTCCTGCGTTCAGTGTCACAGTAGGAACTGGGCTTGTAGCTATACACCAGCAGCGGAAGGGCGACGGCACTGGGAGAGGGGAGATTAAACGGACTCCCTCTGCCTGTCTCTGGGGGAGGCGAAACACTGAAGTTAAAGATCCTTTCAGGACTTTTCTAAAAAGAGAACCAGGATCCCTGCCATCCCTCCCTCTCTCTCACTTAGGGCCTCCGCCAAACCCCAGTCGAGTCAATGCGAGTCTTTCCCAGGACTTCGGTGGTTTGGATCAGCCCTTAAAGTGGGCTAGGGGGGCCCACACTGTGGGAGAGCCATTGCTAGGCAGACAGTGGCTCTCACTTTTGCCCGCCACAGCCAGTCTCAGGGCCCAACTCTCCAACCTGGGCCCAGAAGTTAGGGCTCCCACTTGCACAGTGCTCAAGTGGGCATTCAGGTGCCCGGGTACCGATCCCAGGCGTGGACGCGCTGATCGGCGCCTCCACATGCAGAACTAGGGGCCTCATAGTAGTTTGCAAATTGGGTTTCTGGCATCTCTGCAAAGCGCATTGAGATACCCTAAGCGTGACAGGCGCCAGCTCCATTCTATGCTCTCTGTGTGCATATGCACATTTGAATACCAGACACGGGCTTTATTGTTGTTGTTGTTGTTATTTCAGTGGCATCTAAATGCCTTATCTAGGTCATGGCCCCCATGTGCTTGGTGCTGTACATTGTGCTCAAGCCACTAAATTCGGACCCAGGGCCAAATCTCAAACACGCTAGCAATCAGACACAGGATTTTCATTCTCCCTGTTCGAAGATTATCTGCATGATTCCAGGTGGGAGCCCTGTTTGGAGTTCATCCAGCTGGACAGCGTGTGGGGACGTGAGCTTCTGGGCCAGGCTCAGGTCTGGTTAACAGATAAACCGGCAGAACTGGTCAGCCTGGTGGGAACTGGGCTCCGATGATTTGATGGGGAGGAAAAGTGCAGGCACGTAGCAACGAGAAGAGCTGATCCAGGCCAGAGGCAGCCCAGGGGCTGCACCAACACCGAGGGCCGGATTCGGCTTGCGGCTACACTGGTATAAATCCAGCAAAGTCAACAGAGTTGTGCCGGATTCACACTGGAGTGAGACAGTCCTGGGGATCGCTGTCCTCTGTCCACAAAACAGGTCCAGCAGTCTCACGCTGCAAGCCTGCCAACGTGCCTTGACTCTCATCGGGGGGCACTCTCCTTTTGGGGGTGAAAGGAGCTCTGTCTCCTTAGCCCATTCAATGCCAAGACATCACTGCTGGGAGGGCTCCCAAGGAGACCCGTCAGTGCCAATAGAAGCAGTGGGTTCTGTGACGTGTCCACCTGCCTGCTGGGAGCTGGACGGACCGGATCCCACTCATTTCACACCAGCCTGGGGACACTCATTAGAGAGAAGCTACTTGTGGTCGTTAGCTGTTTGGGCTGGATTGTAACCTACAGGTGAAAGGCTCTTCATCATAAAAACAGACACACATACGTGTGCGTGTGTGAGTGAGAGAGAGAGAGAGACTTACATATACATGCACAATTTGACCTGTCCTAAGTGATCAGCCAAGGATCAGGGGAAAAAATGTGGGTTGCTTAGCAGATGTGGCCTTTTACTACAAATCACGAATAGTTCTGGCAACCTAGGGCTGATGCACAAAGCGGACGGCTGTCCACTGCCGCTGGTTAGGGTGAACAGACGTCCCGATTTGTCCCACGTCCCGACCTGCCTTCGGTCAGGATGCGAATTGTCCTGATATTTTGCCTCCGCTCACAGGCGGAGCAGAGCCCGGAGGGGGCTCGCGCCCCCCCACCCTGACTCCGCCCCCTTCTTCCTCCATTGGATCCCTCCCCAAATCCCCGCCCAGGCCCCGTGCTCCCAGCCCCGCCCCTTCACTGCCCCATTGGATCCCTCCCCAAATCCCCGCCCTGGCCCCGCCTCTCCCCCAAGCACGCCGCATTCCTCCTCCTCCCCCCTCCCTCCCAGGCTTGCACTGATCAGCTGTATGGTGGCGCAAGCGCTGGAGGGAGGAGGGAGGTGGAGACGGAGCGGAGGCATGCTGGTGCGGGGGGGGGGGGGGGGGGCCCCCGGGGCCCGTTTTTTTGGGGGGGGGGGGTTGCTCCCCCCACCCCCACATCCCAATATTTCAACTGTGTGATCTGGTCACCCTACCGCTGGTCCTATTACTATTCTGACCACAGTACCTAGCTGCCCCAGCTGAGATCAGGGCTCCATTGTGGTAGGTGCTACACACACACACACACACACACACACACACACACACACACACACACGAAGAGACCAGCCAACTCCAAAGATCTCACAGCCGAAATAAACAAGACAGACGAACAATGCGCTATTTTCCCGGTTTCACTGATGACACGCAGAGATCCCGATCAGCTGAGCCTTCCACCAGTGCCTTCCATCACAAGACTGTCCATCCTCCGTAGCGCTGGCCCCGCTTTCACTATCCATTTGAGATGGCTGCGCTACACCTGCAATGAACCACTCCAGCCCGTGGAAAGGTTCCAATTCAGCTGTGCATCTGTAGCGGAGCTTTGCGGTGCAGGCCAGCCTCTGCGATGGCTATAAAATCAGAGTGGCATGTCCAATACATTATGCACCATAGGCTTATTCTCCCCCCACAGGACAAGATCTGCACATTCTTTCTATAAATCAGCATATAAAGATTAATGAAGCAGCCCAAGACAACTTTCCTAAGCTGCATAATTCTTAATTTAGTTTCAAAATACGAGAGACTTTACAGTAATAATACTCTGAGCTTCTAGATAAGAACCTTGGCAGTATTTGCAAACAGGAATTAATTACCACTGCTGGGAAAGGGGAGCATGATCCCTTTTCAACTGTTTGGGGAAACTGAGGCACTAAGCGGCAGAATGATTTGCTTACCGTCATGCAGGAAGTCTGTGACATAGCTGGGAGTCCAACCCAGGCCTCATGATGCCTTGGCATGTGCTTTAACCACCGAACCCTCCTATCTCTCTTACCAGACTTACAAAATAGAAATGAAATGTATTCCTGCACACACACAATTCCTGTATGTGTGTGGGTGGGTTGTATGCATTTGGGCACACACGTGTATACATGTATATAAACAGCTCAGATTCCCTACCATTAGGAAACACTTACCTTACAGACCAAGGCAACTATGCAAAGAATAAATCCTTCCATCTTTGGGCTTTATCTTTGCACAGATCTGCCCCACGCATGGGCTCAGATCCAACAACCAGACAAGCGCTTGGGATCCCACCTGAGCGCCCTATTATGATGTGTAATGACAAGATGGCAATCCGCAAGCCTTGACTAAGTAATGTGATCGATCTCCTTCCACAATCCAGTCAGATCCAGCCACCCGGCTGGAGCCTTGAAACTCAGTAGGTTCTTGATCAGACCCGGGACGCCAAGAGTGAGAAGTACCAGCTCAGCCCAGAGCAGATGGCGCCAAGACAGAAGAGATGCAGCAATGGAAGTATCCTCCTGGGACCTGAGTCTCCACTGCCACCCCACGCCGATATTTACGCTAGGGCAAAGTGAGAATAAAATGCTCCCAGCAGCATCTTACATCCATGTGGCCAGGTGCAGGTCAATGGAGAATCAGTCCTCTAATGGCCATCAACTGCAGCAAGATCTCATTACAGAAAGAATTCACGGGGCCTTCACGTTTCCCTATTGGCGTTAAAACAGTTGGTATGGATTAGCACTGCCACAATGCGCTGCAGTTTCTCACCAAACAGCTGAACCTGGTTGCCTTAGTCAGTCCCAAAAGGAATGGAGAGGCTTTATACAACGGTAATTAACAAATGAGCAAATCTGGCTGCTGAGTGAAAATGACAAG